GCTGGAAAAGGCTCTGGAAATCTTTCCTCCTGTGTGTAGACTTCCCACGTTTGCAGAAGCCAACAAAACCAGCGTAATTCCTTCTCTGCTGCTTGAGCTGCATCTTGGGCTCTGCGTGTTTGTGTTCTACCACGGGTAGGGCCAGCAGCAGTGTGACTGTGACACAAATTCCACTGCCCTCCCCGCGAAGGGGAGCTGTGTGTGCTCTTTGTGTGCAGCCATATCTCAGGGCTGGTGCTTCAGGGAGAACAAGGAGAATTTTTGCCACAAGGATAACCCCTTTCTGTGTTGCATGTATTTCACCCTGTCCCCATATTTCTGAGGAATTCATATATTTTTAATGCCCTCTCTTCTAGTACAGAAGAGATCTATTTAAAGGCCTTCTGGAATGACTCTTGAGAAGTAAATTGAACAGTAGGAATGCCTCAGCCCAGCTGCCTTTGGTTGTGTTGCCTGGTCACTTGGGAGAGACGGAATGAATGCAGAGAATCGCTCTTGAAAGTGAATGAAGAGAAGGGAAATGAAGTCAATAGTAAAACCCGTCATGGTAACTTTAAAGTATACAATCCTTGTGTTCCCTTCCCCCTCCCTACATACATAAATTAGGGATGAGGCTGGAATGCAGAGGGCGTTTTCTTTTCTACCATCAGTACTAAAGGGTGCTTGCCATTTTGCTCCCTTATTTCTCTGGTGCATTTAGTCGTATCCTGTGGTGGGAGCTCTCTTCTCTGCAAACACACATTTAGAGTCACTCTTCCTTAATCTTATTTAAACAGCCTTCCTGTTCACTTGGAGGTGAACCCTTTACTATCTAGCTCCAGAAACTTCATACACAATATATTAGGTCTTTTGATAAGTGTGGTAGATCAAAATCATGCAAACGATGGGGTGATGTGGGGTGACTCAGGCATTCAGAGGGCGTTAAAATACTCAAAGCCTTGGAGGAGCTTTTGTTTTCTCCCTGGTGTTTTTGGTTATTTTTTAATCTCCAACAATGAAGTACATATAATTCCAAAATCATTACTAGAAACAAGGAAGTCCAATAAAAAGTCACAGTTTTCTGTCACTAGCTGGGACATGAGCTTGAGTTTTTGGAAGTTGCATCTGTTTGGTGCTCTGAGGCAGGAAGGTTTTGCTTTGCCCTGGATTAGAAAGGGCCAAACAATTCACAAGTGATTTCCAGACACTGCAAGTTCTGGACAGATGTTCTTGCTCAGTTTTGAGCATGTTGACTTTAGAGATAATCAAGGAAGAATGGCTCAGGTATGCGCAGTAATTGTGTATTGAATTCAAATATTTCAGTCTTTATGCCTCTATGTTGATCCATTCCTGTGCTGTTTCCTCAGTTTGAGGCTTTTTGAGCTGCTTTGGATTTTAGTAGTAATCCTAGACATTGGTTTCTTGATGTTTCCTGTTACAGACACTTTCTAGTATCATTGGTATGATCAATTGATGTTTAGTTTGATGAAAATAGCTTCCTCTGTACTTAAGGCTAGCAATGTGAGGAAGTGGGCTCCACATTTGGTCACTGAATTGTCTTTTTACTCCTTAGGACAGAATTACAACCTGTAAGTTAGTTGCTCTATGTTATGGACAAGATTTTTTTGAATTCCTCCTTTGGAAAATTCCAGAAATGATATTTTGAGCCACTGGGAAGGTGTATAAACAATGAAGAAGGACCAAAATGCTTTTTAAATACTACAATTCTTTGTTCAGTCCTTGGAAACATCAGGAGGTTGCTCCACTTGTGTAAACAGACTGATTTACTTGCTCCCTGCTTAGGCAGCAGATCAACGTGATTCCAAAAACTTGCACAGAAACCTTTTAGGTCTGGTGAAATAAAGACTCTCTTTGTTCACGGCCATGATTGACTTGCTGCTGTAGAGTAGGTGACATGTTTTGCCTACCAAGCATGTTTTATAAGCAGAGTTTATATAAAGTTCATGGTACATTAAAATAGATAGCCTCTTCTGTACTAATAAAATACCTTTTATTCTATTATTGGAAACAAATTTAATACAGAATTGCTTTTCAGGTTCATAATGGGCCTTCTGGAACTAAGTCATTGGATTACAGCTTTTTTTTTTTTTTTGCTTGTTTGGATTGATAAAGCTTATTCCAGAGACTTGTTGACAGTGGTAAAACTTCAGCACAAGCCTTTCTCAAATAGTTCAGAAAACTCCGTGTGATAATGCATGTGTGGTTCTTGTTCAGGATTCACTGAAAAGCGTGGAAGGCCCCTAAGGGGAAAATGTTTTTTACTATAGGTCACTGAAGTTTTCTTATTCCAAACACTGGGGGAAAAGGCATTTGAGACCTCAGATTCCTTTACGCTGTTCAAGGATAGATGGATAATCTGCTTATTTTTGTTTGCACTGCTCATCTCTCCTAAGTGCACTGGCCCAGGGCCTCAGTTTTTCAAATCATCTGAATCCTCCCTGACATGACAGGTGAACTACTCAAAATAGCAAAAGTTGGTGTAATAAATATTGCCTAAAAATTCAGAAATTGGGATTGTTATCTTCAGAAGCCCACTAGGGAACAAGTTAGATTTGCGTTGAGTGGCTGTGCTGCTGAACCAGTGGCCCTTGGTTAAAAATTGCTTGGGAGCTTGTGGTGTGTCTCCTTTTCACATGGTGAACTGCAAACATGTTACTTGAAGCATCATGAAAGCTTGGAGATAAATGTGTTCTCCCCCTCCCTCCCCGTCCCATTTTCTGTTGAAGCTGGACCCCTTGTTTTGATTCCTTTGGTTTTTCAGGTTCCTGTCTCCATGTCTACCCTGGGAAAAGCCTGTCTTACTTGAATCTAATGAAGATAAGTGTCCAGACCTTGTGGTGGTTTTGATTTCTATTGGAGAACATAAAGTGAAGATGGATCGTTGAAACAATACATAAAAAGCTTAGAGCAGGTTGTGAAAAATAAAGCTCATGTGCAGAAGAAAAAGCACCATTGACAGCAGATGCAAGAAACTGGATGGTAGCTGCTGTATGTGGGAGAATTGTCCAGAGGGTCTGGGGACTCCTGGGACAGCAGACTCTGCCCCAGTGGCCTGTGCTGATAGAGCAGGGACTACAAACCTTTCCTGAGAGTTTGGTGGCATTTTTACTATCACTAGCTTGGTTTGGCTGTGGTGTGGTTTGTCCCTTTGAGGCAGAGACACAACTATACAGTAGGTCTGTGTTTGATTCGTAGCGTTTTGCTCAACCTCCTGCAAAACATTTTCCCTTGGTGACGTCCATGTGTGATGACAGTCAATGGACTTCAGGTTGTGAAGGTGATTTTCTGGGCGTGGGTTTGGGTTTTTGTATCTCCCCTTTGCTTTTACATCACTGAAAAACATTATTTGGAAGTATTCAGGAGTCTCGGGTGTGTTTCTACTGTGTTAACAATAACTGTTTATGAAGGGGTATTTTAAGTGGAATTAAAGGACAAGTGGATATATTTGTGGAAAGTACTTTTAAACAAATACTTTTAAACACCCTGGCAACCCCTGAGCTGTCCCAAGCTATGCAAAAGGAAGAACTCAGCACAGGTATTACAGGTGCACTACAGGAATGGAGAGGCACGTTTCTGTCCTATTTTTTGCTGTTGTCAGAATGATGTCTTCATTGTGTGTGTTTGATGTTGCCCTGTAGTGCTTTAAAATCTCAGCACTTGAAATGTCACGTTTCATCTTGGTGTCAAAGACATCTCAAGATGCTTGAGGGGGAAGAGAGAGAGAGAGAGAGAAACCTGGTCGCTGGAGGCCGGGGTAACTGCAGCAGTGTGTTATCAGATAATGCTGTTTAACTGCACGCTGGGAGGGGTATGGTTAGCAGATAAGGTTTTGGTGGTTATTTATCTCTGATAGTGGTGCTTGAAGAGGAAGGCATTGAAATGAGTTCAGTGGTAAACGATAGATCGCATTGTATTTCCAAAAGCTGTTGGTGACAATAGAGCACCTATAGATCTGCTTCTCCCTCGGGAATCCCTCCCTAGTGCCCTTTACGTATAGAAAGCATCATTTCCAAGGTTCTGGGCAGTGAGAGCAGCCCGCTGTGATTGCAAGACTCCCACCTAGAGACTCCAGCAAAAATAGCACACAGAAAAGGGAGGAGGCAGGGAGGAGGCAGTGCCTTCTGGAGATGCTCTTTTGCTCGTTGCAGCGCTGAAGGACTAAAATAACCCTACGTGTAACTACCACGGGAAGCAGAGTTACCCTTTGAAAAGAAAAGGATAATACTGGGTTTTATTTGGCAACGAGGGTGTTAACACAGATGAAAATACACAAGCGAATCAGTGCACTGCGGAAGATGAAATGCTTCCCCTGTCAATTCTCAAACACTATTAAATCCGCCCAGTTCACCACCAGTGCCTTGATGTCTCTCTCTTTCTTTGACCAAGGTATGGGAATACAATGATCTTAACGGTGAGTTAATGGATTTTAAAATGTGTGATTGGTTGCTTTGCTCTCCAGTACTGATTTTTGTATAAAATATGCATCTCAGCCCTGTTTTGGGACTAGTTAAGCAGAAATAATTTTTTTTGCCTACTTATTTAGTACATTTGTTTTGTCCTTGGAAAGGGAACAGTCCAAGATTACAGTTAAAACGCACGTCAGATTCTGTAGTTGTATCTTGAGTTTTAAAAACTAATTTATAATTTTCTTTTGCGATTGCTGCTAAGGAATGTATTTGGTTTGCAATTTAAAATTGATCCAAGTACCTGAACAGATGTTCTGTATGGCATGGGTCAGAGTTTGGAGTTCCTTCTCACCACGGACGGAGCTGCAGGACTTTTGGAGGTGTGGGATGTTGGTACCAGGAGTTCCTTTGGGTGGTTGAGCCTAGAAACAAAGCAGGACTCGTGTCAGTTTGGGGATCACTGATGTCGAGCTGGGATGATCTTGCAAGTTCAAATAGATGTCCGGGACTGTTACAGAGGAGTGGTTGGCTTTCTGCTCTATGTGGAACTTTAATTATTAAATACAATATAGGTTACATCAACAGACCTAAGAAAATAGATGTTCTGTATGGCATGGGTCAGAGTTTGGAGTTCCTTCTCACCACGGACGGAGCTGCAGGACTTTTGGAGGTGTGGGATGTTGGTACCAGGAGTTCCTTTGGGTGGTTGAGCCTAGAAACAAAGCAGGACTCGTGTCAGTTTGGGGATCACTGATGTCGAGCTGGGATGATCTTGCAAGTTCAAATAGATGTCTGGGACTGTTACAGAGGAGTGGTTAGCTTTCTGCTCTATGTGGAACTTTAATTATTAAATACAATATAGGTTACATCAACAGACCTAAGAAAATGGAGGGTTTATCCCTTAATTTTTGGTTTTTCTGTGTTACTGCCTGTTCTACTCATAAGGCTTCAAGCTTAAGGCTTTTGACCTTGTAAAACTTTTAAGTGATGGAGGGTTTATCCCTTAATTTTTGGTTTTCCTGTGGTGCTGCCTGTTTTAGTCATAAGGCTTCAAGCTTAAGGTTTTGACCTTGTAAAACTTTTAAGTAACGTTCACCAAATCCCATGATGAATTTATCCATCTATTCTTAGATGTATAAGATTTTTGAGGCAAATTGTGCATTGCTGTTCTCCTTCCACATACATGCACACATTTAGATCTGCTGAGAACTTGCTGTATTGTCTTCTCTGGTTTAAGACTGGCTTAACTTGTGTGCTAAATCTCAAGATTTTTCAAAATAGTAGTTACTCTGTATCCTTCTTCCTATTGAGAGGTGAGTTACCTTGTTTTTCTTCAATTAATTGATGACTTCCTTAAGCTCTTCCACTTTTTAGAGGATTACAGCAACGTGGTTTGCATTGTATGGAATAACAACGTGATTTGCATTGTATGGAGTAGTCAAAATCAGATTGCTTGGTTTGCACTTCACTTTACATACTGGATTTGATTAATTGGATGTTACTTTTATGCCCCGTTCACCTGTGAAGGGTACACGTTAAATGCTCTATTTTCATCTGAATGATATGCAGTGTTAAGTCTTATAGATGTGAGACAAATCACTTCATCTTATTCACAAATATCCTAATTAATAGCTAAAGTAAACATTACCTTCCAGGAAAGAAAAAAAAATATGTACACTGAAATCAGGGTTTTTCTCTGTGTGGTGTGGATCCTGGTTTATCTATATAGAAGCTTACATCATATTTATGTCCTTAACACAGTGTTCTTGAGACATTTCAGCCTGTTTGTGTTTCAGCAGTGCCAGATAATGATGGCAGGGAAGGTCGATGGAGATGGATAATCTTGTGTTTCTCCTTTGTCATGTGGCAGTTTGTGCCATCTATGAGAAAACACAACCGGGCTGTACATTCTTGTTCTTGCCAAGAGTCTGACTCTGCATCTTTTGCCTCTGGATGAGGATTTTGCAGCGGGGCTTGGCCTGTTTGTCTGGGCTGTCTGTGCAGTTCTCAGGCAGATAGGCTGCATCTCGTAGCTGCTGTGTAATGCAGTTACTGGAGAACAGCTCGTCAATGTCCTCGGGGGCCACCGCCCATGGGTCTGGGACAACCCCAGGATGATGTAAGTTTCATTTTGGTATTAAAATGAATACGAGGAAAATCCTGCATGTTTCACTTCTTCAAAATGAAATAGCCCTTTTGCTGTTGATGATAAGATAGCTTCCGTGATAGGCTGCACAATAGTGTCTGTGGAAATCCAGACTGAGTGGCTTTTGTTTAGTGGCTGCTTTCAGTCTGTAGGGCAGGTACCAGACATTTTTTAACTCTAATTAATTAATAGAAAGAAGAAACTCTCCAACAGAAAAAGAGGGTATGTTGTTTGTCTATGTTAGACTGAGGTGAAAGTGAATAGCCTGAAAACTTGCATATATAAAAAAAGCCTTAGGTACTTTCTTCTGCAGAAAATGAGATTTATATAGTTGTATTTCAATTTGAAGTCGGCATTCAAAGAATTGTTTGGCTTCTGATTCTACTAATTGAAAGTATGAGGGGCATGTGTGTATTTGAAAAAGTGAGTGGGTGTGCTTGAGGTTAAGTTGTATTTGTCATTTCTCTTTTTGCTGTGTAAACAGATCGACTTGATACTGGGCATGACTGGGTGTTTTGTCAATGTATGGTCACAATTAAATGTTAGTGCTCCATATAAAAAGGCTTGTGGTAATGTAAACCTTCCTCATCCAGGAGAGATACTGAGGTATATTTAGAAACAGTCTCTTGGATTTATTTTCTAATTTTCTGTAGCTGTTTTTATTCTGCATCTTTGCATTCCTTAGACACTGATGTCTGAACATCTCCACTCTAATACGTTTTGCCCTTAAGTTCTCAAATGTGTACAGAGTCTGCAATTAAAAAAAAAATCTTATGGGGAATGACTCTCTCTAACTCTTCTATCAGAATGGAGAAATAAAGGTAGGAATATGTATATACATGGTCTCTGCTGTTACAGTATGTACTGAAAATCCATCTCTCTACTATACTAGAGCAGCAGTCACAACAGAGAAACAGTTCCAAGAAGTGACAATATAAGACCTTTAGAAACAATTTAGCACACAGCACTGAACTTGTAACTGGCACGGTGAACTAGTAACTGGTTTTCAGTTGTATACCCTTAGAAAAAACACTTCTGTATCTTTTTTGAAGAAATCACTGCTTGTATTTTATAATACAAGTATACTTAAACAGAATTGAAATATGCATTTTCTTTTTTACTTAAAATCATAGCTTTATTAGCCACTTAATATTTAGAAGAATTATTAACTCGTGGGGTTTATTTTTGTTCCTCTGCAGCGGATATAATTTCTACAGTAGAATTTAACCATTCTGGAGAGTTGTTAGCGACAGGAGACAAAGGAGGGAGAGTTGTCATCTTTCAACAGGAGCAGGAGGTGAGTGCTAACTAAGTGTGTTTCACGTTCTCTCTTCCTATTCATTCTCCTTTTTAAAGAAAAGGAGCATGCTTTCATAAAAAACTTCACATGAAGTGCATGCCTTTGTAATAAGTTATTAAAATAATGAAATTTAAGAGTGAATAAATGATTGAGAACTTTGCGACGCTGTTTGAAATAAGTTTTTCTTTTAACACTCTTAGAGCTGTGGTCTAAAGAGTGTTTAAATAAAATAAAAAAAAAGGGCAGGAGGTAGGACACAAAAAGACCTCAGGGAAGATCAAGTTGGTTGTTCTATGACTCTGCTTGGCTGTGATTATTTTAGAGATCACTGTAGTTTAGGTAATAAAAGTTTCCCTTAAGTGAGTATGTAACTGTGACCTAAGATGGCCTTTTCCATCCTGGTATCAATAAGCTAAAATCATAGAATTATAGTAGCAAAGGTATTTTTTCATTTTATACTTGTTCTTTTGGTCTTTTCAGAATTCTAGAGCCAAATCTTCCAATGGCAGGAAAGGGCTTTTTATTCCCACGTTGGAGGTGGGAGAGCTGAGATGGAGAGCTTGATTTTAAACTTAGGCCATGGGTAGAAGTTGACTCGGTTAGAATTAATTTCAGGGAGGAGGACAAAAAAAGCAATTCTGTCATCTCACTGCCTGGAAAAGCCATGCTGCTGCTGCTCTCCTTAGAGTTTCATTCAATTGCAATTCTAAAAATCCTAAACTTTAAGAATTCCACGGTTCCCCAGCCCAAGTTGTTGTCTGCTGGTGGGTGGGCAATTCCTGTGCACTGGTCTCTTTAGGAATAAATGACTGTTGGTCAGTTGGTGCCATCTAGTGGGATATTCCCAACTGACTGGTCTTTGCCCAAATTTCTCTGGCCAGAGCCTGAGATGAACACTGCATGTGGAGTATCCTCACTGTCATCTTCCTGCAGTTTCAGCACTAACTCTTGTGGTGGTTTTCTTTGAGGTTTTTTGTGTGTATTTTTTCTAAAGTCTGAGTTTAGCTTGCATCCTTCAAGGATCCTTTACTTCAGTGTAGCTCAAAGCTTAAATAGCTAATTGCCTGTTCTCATCTTTAAATGGCTACTTAGGTTTTTCATGCATAACCCATGGCTCATCCTTAACGATCTGTGAGTCTGGCTACAGTGAGAATCACCTGCGTTATTGGATTAAGTTGCAAGGAATTGGTTTTGGCATAATTTGACTCCTTGGTGTTCAGGAAATGAACAACAGGGGCTTGATTCCCTAATGCATTAATAGTTAGGGCATATGCACTACTGTCTAGAGCGAGTTTTATATGTAAGAGCATCAAAAAGACAATTAAGTATTTTAATTGGGTTTATGTACCACCTTCTATCCCACTGCATTCCAGGGTGCTTTACATACAGGAAGAAAAACACTAAAACATGAGTGCTCTGTATGGAGTTACTGTAAGAGCATCAAAAAGACAATTAAGTATTACAATTCTATGATTCTATGTACCACCACCTATCCCAGTGCATTCCAGGGTGCTTTACAGACCATACATACAGGAAGAAAACCACTAAAACGTGAGTGCTCTGTATGGAGTTATACAAGCTCCTGTAGCATCACCCCCTGCCAAAGGCTGCCACCTCTGGGCTGGAACGTGGCAGCCCCGAGAAGCAAGTGCCATTGCACAAGTTCTAGGCAGGAAATGAATACTGTAGCTAATTGAAACTGGAGGAGGAATTTGCGTGGGCAGCCTGTAATTACCTAAATTGGAATTTAACATAAGGTACTTGGGCCAACACCTCTTCTTGTTCTGATACTATTTATTTTTTTTTGAGTGCTGTGAGATGGTCTGGTTTAAATTTTGCTTTTATCCCAAGGATGGATTTCATATGTTACTGCTTTTATATATTATTCTAGTCCTGTAGAGTTTTACTAGAATACACAAGTATATTTAAGACTCAAACATTAGGGTAGGTATGGAATTGAAGGAAAGTTCCTTGAACCACCACCACCACCAGCATTTCCTAAAGCACAATAGATTTACTTTAGCAGTCGCCTGTTGTCCAGAGTGACCCTGTTTAACTTGTTAAGACTTAACTGAAACTTAAAACAAAGTTCCTTCCGTTCTCTAGGGTGGGAAAGCTGGTATAATTGATAGGTGTGGTACAATACTCTAGTGCCAGATTTTATTTCTAAGCATTTTTTTCCGCTTTTCCCTCCCTCCCAGCTTATTGTAAAATGTAAGAATTCCTGCTAGCCATTAATGTAAGGGTATGAAGCAAGAGAAAATGA